GAGCTATAAGTCTGGTCAACGGTCGTTCGCGGTCGTGGCGACTCCGGAAAAGTTATAGTTCCGAAAATTTGGGAACTATAAGTCTGGTCAACGGTCGTTCGCGGTCGTGGTGAGCTCTGGGAAAAGTTATAGTTCCAAACATTTTGGAGCTATAAGTCTGGTCAACGGTCGTTCGCGGTCGTGGCGACTCCGGAAAAGTTATAGTTCCGAAAATTTAGGAACTATAAGTCTGGTCAACGGTCGTTCGCGGTCGTGGTGAGCTCTGGGAAAAGTTATAGTTCCAAACATTTTGGAGCTATAAGTCTGGTCAACGGTCGTTCGCGGTCGTGGCGACTCCGGCAAAGTTATAGTTCCGAAAATTTAGGAACTATAAGTCTGGTCAACGGTCGTTCGCGGTCGTGGCGACTCCGGAAAAGTTATAGTTCCGAAAATTTAGGAACTATAAGTCTGGTCAACGGTCGTTCGCGGTCACGTGCGGTCCCAAGAAACTTGTTCAGAAGGTGCTCGGTTGCCACAGGTGCTTCCAAAAGTTATATTTCCTGAAAAAAGTTATAGTTCCGGAAATTCTGGAACTATAAGTTACGTGTCCAAAATTTCATTTTTTGACGGGTATGTTCTTGTATTTTTTCCAGGTCTATGGCTCCAAAAAAGTATGAATATACCCGTCAACTTTTCAATTGACGGGTGCAAATGTTTACATTTGAGTCAAAAAACATTTGGAAAGAACATAAACATACCCGCCAAAATATGAGCATTTTGGCACACAATTTATAGTTCCAGAAATTCCGGAACTATAACTTTTTTCAGGGAACATAACTTTTCGGGGGACCGCGCGCGACCGCGTAGGACCGCTGACGGGACTTATAGTTCCGGAAATTCCGCGCGCGACCGCGTAGGACTGCTGATGGGACTTATTGTTCGGGAAATTCCGGAACTATAACTTTTCCGGGGGACCATGATGACAACCAAGCAAAGTACTGTAACCAAATCGTTTAGCATACTTTGTTCATTGCTTTCTTTTGGCTCATGTCTGGGATTGGACACAACATGCCGGCCAGGCTTAACAGGACAACACAATGTTGATTTTCCTAAATTCTAGACTTCTAGACGTTTCCAGATTCAAAATCCAAGTTTAAAAGTCTATTTTTAAAAAAACGTTGTAAAACGTGTACATCAAGTATGTCAATAACTAATGTATCTAGTTGTTGATTGATGTGTTGGCTTTCTTTGTAAGCTTGATAAACTGAGAGTCCCATGGGTCTCATACAATTCCGTGGAGAGCTGTTTGAGACAAGATCCTTCTGTACACACTCTTTCAACCATTGTTGAACACAGTGCGAGTGATGAGCCCTCCTTATGGGCTCTGGGGTTTGGCCATGATTCATCTAAACGACCTCAACCTTGGCAGGAGCCAAAAAAAAAGGAGCTTTGGTGGACTGCGCCAAAACATTTGGAATGGGTCCATTGGCAAAACAGTCTTGAAAACACACTTCCGGCAGCTGAAAAAGTTATATTCCCAAAACGGGATGAACTAAAACCTAAAAACCATAGGTTGTGAAAATTGCCACCCCTCGCGTCGGTTGTCCCTTTGAGGGATCCTCTCGTTCCCTATCAACAGCCCACGCGCACGCCGGTGGTTCGTCTGAGGTCAAGACGCGCTCTGGCGGATCTTCCCATCGCTGCAGGAGGTGCTGGTGGCCAATCCGGAAGTCGCAGGGGGCCCCGGGGGGTTTACCCGGTGGGTGACAGCGGTGTGGGAAGGAAGGGTTTTGAGAGCGTGATCCAGTATCTTCTTTGGTACAACATGATGGTAAAGCAAAACAAATTGCAGTCCACCTATGTACTGGCAACTAAAATTTCGTTAATTTAGCTATATGTCAAAGGCAATTTTCAACATCAACAACGTTGAAAACGACCACAAGCTGCTATTTCCAATTGAAGCAGATCGGTCTATCCCCCCCGGGTGTTCCTCAACTCCCCCCCTGAGCCAGACTTGAGCCAGACTTGTCTCTTGGGGTATCCAAAGATCCCAAAGATCCACAAACTTCGATTCAGGTCGAGTTGCTGCGCTCCTTGGTGCCTCTGAGGCCGTCCGTTTGCGTCCCCGCTGGCACCGGTCGCCCCGTCCGTCACGGCAGCTGCAACGGTCAGGAGTGGTGAAAGACCTCAGCAGACGAACCAACCTGCGGAGATACAGGCCTGGAGGAGACGTTCGAAGACGTTTAGAGACTCCTTTATTTTATAAAGGCTCTTTAGAGATAAAGAATGAGATCTTAGATGATCTTGGTGGTAAATACTGAAAAACATTCACGCCTGAAGTTCCAAGTGAAACTTGGAACCGTTTCCCTCGAGAAACTCCTGCGCCGAAGCGTGAAACGGATCCTTCTCCCCAAGAATCCCATTGGGCTGGGCGGAGGGGGTTGGTTTGAAGATGTCGTTTTTGTTAAGGGGTCAATGTAGGTCAATGGGGGAGTGAGTGAACCTGGTGAATATATATATATATATATTTATCTATCCCCTTGACTCCTGAGGATGAATTTTCCATCTAAAATGGGAGGTGCTGCTTGTGATTTTCACATGATACGTTCATTTTTCAGCTGGGACAGCAAGTTGTCCAGCCAGAGTATTGTCAACAGCAAATCATATCCAAACGAAGCAGATGTTTTCTTTGAGCTTCACATGTATTTAAAGCATTCATGCTGCACCCACTGGCGTAGCATATACAGTCATTGGATACTTTGTTTGACCTCGTGGTGTGCAGAACCAAAAACACGCAGAAAACTCGCGTTCAGATCGACCAGAAGATGGTGGGCTGGCTACTGGGTGGCCGCGGCAAGACGGTGCAGCAGATCGAGGAGAGTCGGAGAATCGGGTTGGTCGACGTGGACGTCGGATGATGGCGTGGGCGTGAAAGCTTGGAATGGAAGAGGTGTAATCAAGAAGCTTGTACCAGGACCCACAAGGGGTGGTTAATGGACACCCCTTAACATCTTTAAGGGGCTATCAATAGAAGCCCCTCAGGGTGTCCTGGTAAGTTGTAATTTATAGGATCGACTTGTAATGGTAGCTTGGAAGCTTGTAAGTCAAAGCTTGGAAGCTTGGCTGGATTAAGCCCTTGAATCATCAACTTGCTCCAGCCCTCCGAGTAAACGACTTGACTGTTGAGGATGCTCGGATTCTGATTGGAGGGTTGGAGGGTTTTTGGATGTTCACGGTTCACCAGGTAATATATAGATGACCGAGAGTGTAGAATGGACCAGTGTAGCTGAGGGAGTTGCATCGCGTGCAGGGTTTTTGGAAGTCCCAAAGTGGTCAACCTCTACTCACTTAGGCTATTAGGGTCTTACAGACTGGTTCACCTCAGAAACTGTTTGGTGAGGCCATGGCAGGCCTATTTGGGCAGGAATGTTCCTCTGCCGTTTTTGTCTGCCCGACCACCTTTTGGGGTCAAAGAGATGTCCGCGACAAGAGAACCCTCACGGCATCCCTGATCTTGCCGAACCAGAAAAGGGATTCCCCGAGCAGCATCGTCGCAACGCACCGTTCCGAACTCCAGAGAACGAACGGCAGGAGGAAAGCGGCGCCAAGATCCATGTCGCCAGCAGCCTCAGTTCGCCCATCACAGCTCCAGTTCTTCGCTCGCTTTTTGAATGGCCACGAGCCTGTGGAAACACCTCCACCCTGGTGGTGAAACTCCTCTGGAATCGCTTGGTGATCAGGTCATCACAGAGAATAGCGAGGAACAGGGGGAGCTCTAAGCGGAGGAAGAACTCTTCTGTGGGCGCTCCAAAAAGTGGAAGAAAAGGACCACACTTGGCGGACGAATCGGGAATCTCCTCCCCCTTACCAGTGTTCGCCTATCAAATGCCGATGCGTTTACGCGACAAAAAAGGCTCATTTTGACCAGGACGGGGGATGGACTCTCTCCTTCTTCGTGCTGAGGATCAATCCACCAAGGAGGCTGGCTACAGCATAGCTCCTTGGCAGATGGACGTGTGTTGATGACCAGACGAGGCGTGACGCCAAGGTCGTGTGGTTGTGGTCGACGAGACGTCGCCGTCCGCCCGATGTCGCTTTTGGGTCCACGCCGGGCTTCGGATCGTTTCTTTATGCAAAAGAACAGCGCAGCTACTTCCACTTGCAGCTCATCTGCCCAACCAAAAGCCCAACTTCTCTTTTGGCACGGACCAAGGAGACCACCCATGACATAGCATGGGACCAGGACAGGCTCCCACTTTGTTTGGATAGAAAAAAAGATGAACAAAAGCACAAAACGAAGTCGACGCACCGGTCCTGACTTGGTCCGCGGGTTTCCCACTGGGTTCAGGTCCGTGTGACGGGGCCCGCATCGGCGGCTGGCACCTGAGAGCGCGAGCTATGCCAGCGAAGGGCGTGCCATGAGTGGAGGGTGCCAAAGGCCTTTCATTGGAATGAGGACAGTGTACCTGGAGCCTCCTGTCAGGGTGTCCTGGCTGGACTACCCCACACTACCTTGGGTAGCTTCCATTGGGTACCCCTTGGAGGGTCCTGGTATTAACAATTCATACTGTGCCTGTGCCATGAGCTCAGGTTTCCGTCAATGTAGAGAGCGGGTGTTTTCCTTGGGAGAGCACTGTATTTTACAGGAATAGATTGCACATGTTTGCACGAGAAAACATCTCCCAGGAGCACCTGTTCTGGAAATCGATGACTATTATCATGATGTATACATGTTAATAATTTTATACTATAGGGTGAAGGCGCTCAAATCATCCCACATCACAATTGCAGTTCACGCTTCTGATTTGTCACATCTACAGATGCAGTCTGTCCCAGGTTCAGATGGCCGAGCGAAGAATAGAGGTCGTTGGCGATGGGGACTCGCCAGCGTTGGCTGTGGTGCTGTGCTTATTTACTCAGCCGACTGAGTTCTTGACTTCCCGGACCAAGATGTTCCTGCAGCTTTCCAACATACTGCTGCATATAGCTGATTGAAATCAGATTGTCCTGCAGCTTTCCACCGGTAGCGGTGGTGCGAGAAGCGATGTGATAATGAGTTCATCCACTTTTTTTTCCAACACCTCCAGGTCTGTCAGGTTGGGGGAGTGGTTTGCCAGAACTCTGCAAGCAAGTTTGGTAGACGTCAGAGGATGTCAGCATTCAAATGCACAGCATGTGGCTTTTCCATAGTTTTCCAAAGGTCAATGCATGTATTAGCCATGCCATGCTGTGTTGGGAGTTCTGGGAAAGTGGTGTTGTCCATGATTGAGGATACGTCACGTTCCCAAAATGTCCTCCAAAAAGAAATGAATCATACCACTTCCCCCGAACCTGACTTCATTCCATTCTTTAGAGGCTGGAGACCATTCTCAATGACGAGTCGCCCGCTGGAACCCTCTTCCCCCACGTCTCCGCACGTCGCCGCACCCGTCCGTCTCGCCGGCAGGCCTCCATCTCCATCGCCGCGCGCAACGAGACCGCGAAAGCGCTGGAGAGAGTTCCGGGAAGCGTGAGCGGTGAAGCGGGGAGGGGCCCGGGGCCCACACGACCGGTGGGTAGAAGGGGAGTGGGAGGGTTTTGGGTGGAAGGGTGGGGTTGGTAGATGTGGTAGAAGAACTGAGTGAATGCGAGCTGGATGCAGAAAGGGCTCGGTCATGGAGGTGAAGCTTGCTGCCCTATGAGTTGGTGGGACCAGAAACGACCCTTGCGAAGCAAGACCAACCATCGCTGGAGCGAATATGAGAAAAAGGGGTACCTTTTTGTTTCTGTAAGGGATCCTTTTTTTTGGGTTATATATAGATGTGAACTGCCAGGTTTGGTGGATGTCACGCAGTTGTTCGGGATCTCTTTTGCTCACAGATATGGAGCAGATGGTTGAATGATTCATTTGGGCGAGGCCTTGCTCTATACTGCCGGATCAGTTCTATCTTATGGTTTCCTTTGTTGCCCAAACAATGTGGTCACACAAAAAAGGGGGGTTCGTAAACGGCAAGGCAATCGTTCAAACATGTCCTAACACTTTCCAAAAAAAAGACAACACATTCAAAACTGCATAAATATAAGTAAAATGCTTCATCCCTCTGATTGAGCACCATGGGGTCATGAATGATATAAGTAAAAAGACGCCTTTGTTTTTGAGCGCCTGGGGTCGGTCTCTTGCCGGTGCTGCAGGAGTCGGGTGAAACGGCTGACATGGAGGCGGCGTCAGCAGACACTGAGACGAACCGAAGGGTGCTGTCAAGGGCTGCTAGGGTGCTAGGGCCCTTACTAGGGCGCTTACAGCTACATATACAGTAGTATGGACAGGGAATGTAAAAGAAGAGTTTGAAGATGTTTGAAGATATGTTCTGTGGACTCATCTGATGTCTGCAACTCGACCTGTGTAACTTGCCGTGCATGGAACAAACTGCGGACATCTCGTCGGTGCGACCATCGTGTTTCAGGTGGAGCAACGGTTTGTTGGATGGATTCTAGGCAAGTCAGGAACGGTCGGCCCCTGAGACTGTGCGCGACACACAGCGCACCGTCAGCGCACCGAATCGTGCGACCCATGCGACGGCAGGTGGTGTGGCACCAGTGCAATGCATGCAAGCGGTCAATGTCTCGAGTCTTCGTGAGGTCATGCCAGTGTGGCATGTCATTTTTCATTTTTGAGATGCACCGAGTAAGCACCACCAGGAGTGGAGCCTGCGGCTTAATTTGACTCCACACGGGGGACACTTACCAGGTCCAGGCATTCTGAGATGCACCAAGTTTCGGGTTGATATAGAGGACCGCCCGGGGAGTCCAGAGAAGCAGCACGGAGTCCAGGTACTGAAGCAGATCCAAGCTCAAAGTGGAGCTTTGGTCAGCATCGATCAGTCGACGAAGGCCGGTCTAGTGGGCCTAGTGCCTGCGGCATGGCATGTGGTGTTGTCGAAACCGTGTGTGGATGCTGAAGGACGTACGGCTATTTGGACTTACCCCTACAAGTCCAGTTGGACCAAGTGAAACCTGCTCCTTGAACTCATTGAGTATCTATTTGGACTTCCACGAAGAGGGTGTCGAAAAAGAACCTCTCCACCTAGTGGAGTCACAGAGCGCGGGGTGGAAGGAGGACGTCGGTGCCCCGAACGGATGGGACGAAGCAAATCACCCCGAACTCCATGTGTCCAGGTTCTCTCTCCGTAGTCATGGACACCTCAACGCCCTTTTTCTTCCGGTGGACGGTGCCCTCCGTGTTCCGCCGTGCCAGCGGGCTGTCCAGTATTTTTTTGCTTTGTCATGGGACGGTTTTTGACCATGAAGATGTGCCATGCCAGGAGCTTGGATATAGCCAAGTGCGAATATCAGGCACTTTCCAGCAGCGTCCAGGCGCCCAGAAATCAGTGAGTTCTAGCGTAACTTAGACTCTGCAGGAAAACGTCAGGATCGTTTTTCACATCCCTTTCGTTGGCTGCGCGTGTGTTTTTGTGCCTTGTTGGGGCGACGACTGGAGAGTCAGTCAGACGCGACGACGGGTCGATGACGGGTCGTGGGATTGGAACGCCACTTCGCAAGTATCGTTGGCGACCTCGCCAAGGTACTGAGTGGTTGGGATTTCGTTCACAGGTTCCGGAGGCGACACCTTGGAAAGAGCGTACTGTTGGCAATCCTGTGAACGGTGTATAGTAGTAGTGGGTTTCTGTTTCAAAAAAGGAGCGGGACCTACCTTTGGCCCACTGGATTTCGCAAACGTATAAACACGCTGTAGCGGTAGGTTGGGCCCAATGAATTCAATGGATTTCGTCTCGTCGATTTCATTGTGCCAGAATTTTGACTTGAGGGGTCTCCCATCTTCGCCCATACACATGCACCCATTAGTTAGTTAGTCCAATCCGCCCACGGATCGATAATGGTCTTCTCCTTCTGGAGACGGATTCTGATTTGACTTGCCCACGGATTCTATCGAGGTCCACGGACGGATGAGGACCATCAGAATCATCCGTGACCTCATTTGACTCCATTTTCCCGAAGGCGTATATATAGGCTCCATCCGGCGTTCTCTTTCTGCCACGTCCCCAACGGGCTCCATCGGGTTTACCGACGGGCTCCATCTTGGTTAGGACAGGGATTTCGTTTGGGGCTCAGGTTTGTTGGCCAGACAGTTGATCGAGGACAAGATCTCTGAGGCATCGAGGGGTTGACGACTAGCTATACGTAGCTACTTACGCAGAACTACTCAGCAGGAGGTGGGGATGAATAGCAAGTGTTGGTTCAGTATCATATCTGCGTGTTGCTGAGGAACACCTACTTGTGCTCCGAATTTTTTGGCTGGACGTGGAAGGGGTTTAAATTAAGCCGTTTAACATGGTTCAATGACTGTTGGTGGTCAGCAAATCGTTGCTGGGAGATGCATATGCCCTTGTGAGAAGGAAAATTTAGGTACGTCGAGTCCTTGCCCTGCCTGCCTTCTGAGAATGTCGCTGCATCGCTGGGTGAAAGCTGGACTTATCAGCATCACCAAAGAACGTGGGCAGGAGAAACAACATACCACCAATGGTGCTTGTATGAAGGATCAAGTTGAAATCAATCTGCGGGACACGACAGCATCTGACAGCCATGGCCACGACGCTCCTGAGGCTGCACAGTTGGTCCGTATGTTGTTCTCACACGTTGGTCCGTGTCTGTCCCTTTGTGTGCTTCGTCTTGTCTTGGACATCTTCGCAAAGGTTGGTATTGACCAGGTCAGCTCAGGGGGTATTTGTCGTGCTTCGGGGAAGTGCTTCTTCACTTGGACGCATGCAGGCTGACCCAGATCGAAAGTGAAGATCAGATGTGACAAGGCAAAGATCCTCCGAAAAAGCTGCGGCTCTGCACCCAGATCGGACGACATCTCACTGGACATGAAAAGAAAGAACGTACTCATACATTCCGAATGTTCGGGTGCAACTTGAAGTAGTGGAAGAGAACATGAAGAAAATGGGAGAACATCTAGTGGTTCAGGCCCCAAACGCCCACATTCAGAAAAGCACATGCTCCTTCTCGACGACTTTCCTCTAGAGACAGGGGGGGAAAAGGGCATCCAAAAATGGACGGGTGCATGATTCTGGACCTTGGACATGTCAATGAAATCGATGCGTCCAGAATCACTTCGCCAGCGTCGACCTCGACGTCTCTCACGGATGTCCACGGTCGTCACGGCCGGCCGTACGGCGTGCGGTCGCCGTGGTCGGACTGGGGTCGTTCCCGGGTCGCTGGACATCCGGGTCGCTAGGCAGCAGCCAAGTTGGGCTCTGGGTCGCTTTGTTTAGCCAAGGTAGCCAAATACTCAGAACCTGGTACCCTTTTCCGTTTTGATGAGCCTGTGGACATGACTGGACATGATCTGCTATCAAATATGTCCAATGATTTGCAGTTCAATTTGAGGTTGTCAATGAGGCTATTGTTGTTGACCCATGAAGGGTCTGCAAAATGTATCAACATGAATCAACCACCCCCGATCGAGTGTATGTCAACGTCCGCTGGGCAAGACTCGATCGGTGTCATTCACTGGTCATCCGTCGCCATGTGTTTGATGGAATTAACGCATAGGTGTTTTTTTTTTTTTTTTTTCGAACCATTCCGTGACGACACGCTTGTCAGGGGTTCATGGTCTTCAGTGGTTCATACTTTTGGCTCAAGAGTATAGTAGGAGTTACATGAAGATGGCAGCCACCAACCAATGCCATAGATGTCCAAGTCTCGTTGACATGAAGCGGCAAAATTCGGCAAACCCGAGTGCACGGGTTTTCAGCACAAAAAACAACACAACACGACTCGTCAGCGCAAGTTGCCCCAACAGCTGAACCGGGCACAACACGACTCGTCACCACAATACCCAAACGGTTGGAGAATGCCTGAGACGTTCCTCCCTTGATCGCAAGAAGGACTTGGAGCAGTGCGCAGTCACGAGTGACTGCACAGTCGTTGCCGAAGATTTGGGTGGGAGGTGTGGTGCCTTGTTTTGCTCAGTTGTTGTTCAGTCTATGACCTATGGCCTATGGGTGTATCTCTAAATGCTTGTATCCCCCAACACTCTTTTGCCTAAAGTGTTCGGACAGGTCATGGTTTTGCATTGAAGTTATAGGAACATTTGATCAGTCCTGCGTTCCTTTCAGCCTGACAACTGTCTCGTCTATTGAACAAGATGACTTGTAGGCAGTCCTGCTGTAGAGGCAGGTAGAAAATGATAGAAGGTAGATCCAAACAATGTGATTCGCAGCTTGCCTTGCTGGCTTTTACTAGAGGTGTTTATTCGTGTGGTATGCAAAAGTCCTCCCCATGACCAGCAAAAGGATAGAACGGTCACTGTTCCAAAAGCGACAAGCTTTGCTTGAGAGTACCTCCCCATTTGGTTCCAGAATTGGTTTAAGGGAAAATGGTGTTTGGCTCCCAAAACGGTGGGTTTCCTACAGACGGTTCCCTAAAACCAAGAGGACCGCAACCCTTTCCCCTCGTCGCCCACGGAGTGGCAAATTCGGAGCGCCACGAAAGGACATGGCCCGTGAAGCTTCTCCGGGGCCTTTGCTGCTGGGACGATGAGTGCCGGGATGGTCTGGGTGCGTGTTTCTGTTCGTTTCCGGGTGTGAAGGATGTTTTCTGAGGGGTGTTGAGTCATGTTTTATTCCCTTTATCGGTGTGGGCTGACAGCTGGGGCGGAAGGTCTTAGGTGTTCGTCTAAGGTCTGGGGCAGAGTCTGTGGTTTCCTACATCCAGAGCAAGCTGTTTTCCTCAGGAGGGATAGGTTTCTTCCCAGAGCAAGCTGTTTTCATGGTCTCTGGTTGTTTGAGGTCTGAGGAACCAGCATCTTGTTCGTCCCACGATGCGCCCGGTTCGATGCCGCAGTGCGGCCCTGTTCGGCTGCGTCCATCCTCCCCAGCCTCATCCGGCTGGGTCCAGCCTCATCACGCTCTGCTTTTGTGACTCTGACGACCTGCATCGTTGCTTGCAGGCGCGCGCACAGGCACTTAACAACAGCACAACAGCACAGCCGTAGTGGGGAGTTGCCACCCAAGCATCTGCTTGATCTTCAGAAGATTGCGGCTTCTTTGGTCACGACAGCCCTGGCCGACTCCGACCAAGGAATAGCCACAGTTCCACGTGGCTGGCTGTCGCCAGTGGCTGTCGCACACTCCCTGTCGCACAGAAGGGGGTCCTTGAGAGGTTAGAAGTGTTGTTTGGAGCCATGAAATCGATGCGTTTTTGAATAAGGGTTCTTGAAAAAGGTTTTCAGGTCAGATTTCCATGAACTAAGCAAACCTTTCTGAGTCAAGAAGGATCTTATAGGGCAGCAACAGCAGAACAATAGTAAGTAAGCTTGGATCGTTCTCCAAGGGTGGAAAAAATCTGTTTATCATCCCCACCCACTATTCAGGATGTGGGAATAATTTTACAACAACTTTTTGATTATTCCTTCCCACTTGGCTATTTAGGATTGAACATTACTCACCATCCACACATCTGAGCTGAAAGTCCAGTTCAAGGGTCGAGCACCAAGACCGCTGCACAGTTCTTTCATGTTTGCAGTCTCCTACCGTCAAGATTCATGTTCGCGTACGTATAGTATCTAGTCTCCCTCTGTCAGAAAAAGAACAGCACAAAACTGCACACGTGCCATGTCTTGGTTCACGCACTGCTGAAACCCAATGTCAAAACGAAACCAACGACATGATACATGTGATCCACCCTGACTGTTTCAGTCAGCTTTTTCAGCATGGAACACTTGTTGGTCTCTGTTCAACTGAAAAGAAAATGGATCACCTCTGGTGGGGTCGGTCTTAATGTAACCAACTGTTCATCTGGATTTGGGGTACATTTGCAGCTCTGCGCTATTCTGCTGTGTCAGCCGTGGACACTGGGCACCGTGCTGCAGCTTGTAGCCCTGAAAAGGTTCCCTGTGCGGTGCTTTCCAGTTCGCCAAGCGAGGGATCGCCTTGGCGGCCAGCCTCGCACAGCAACTCCCCACCATCTGGGCCACAAGCCCAGCAAAAGTGAAGAATAAGAATTGTTTAGGCGGTGGGACTATTACGTAACCTGGAACCCTAGAATAAACATATCTGAACTTACTTTTCTATTACTACTCGGCACTCGGTCGGCAGAAGTATGGAAAGCACGGACCAACAAAAACGCCAGGCTCCAAACCTGGGCCATCCTGGACTCCGAAGATGAAACGCCACCCCCTTCACCCTCGTACCAAATGGTGGTACCAAATGGTGGTGTAGCCGGATGCTCCGGACCCTCAGTGAAAGGACAGATCAAATCATTCGGCCACTTCTTGCTGCAAAGTGGCACTTTGCCTCGAAGCGCAGCTTCATTTTCCAGAAGCGCCGCAAAAAAGAACACACCCACCATCTAGATCCCATGGGGGTGTCGTCTGCCTTGTTCAGCTTCTGCCTGCCGTGGTTTTCACACACGGTGCGGGGCCCACCGCCGAGGCGCTACCGGCTCTGGTGCGGAGGCCGCGAGACGTCGCAGTTGCACGACCACCGACTCGTGGCATGAAGAACGAACAGTGGATGCAACAGCGCCCCATTTCGGGTGGTGAAAGGATCTGAAATGGAAAAGGATGGAAAAAGGATTTGACGTGATTTGACATGGATGGAACATACATAGGGGGTTCTACAATATACCACCTTTTGGGTGGTGCTGGTAGAGAAGACATTCAAAACCAAGACCGCCCACCATGCATGGTTCAAACCGCTTTACGAACGGCTTTGCACAAAACCAGGTCAACGGTCTTGGAACGTTCTTTTGGATCATTTGCCCTTTGATTGGAAGAGGAGAAACTCCCCGACACCAAAGCCCAGAGTGTGCAGAGTACGGCAGTTCCCGCATGAAGAGCCTTGGTGTTGGAAGGACTCCACAAAGATATCACGGAGGATGAGGCCTCTGCAGGGAAGGAGCCTGCTTCATCCGACCTGACTGGATGAGAAGTTGGTCAACCGATGTGTTTTTGCACAGGACTGGGTAAGTTGTTGCTGACTGGGATGTTTCTTGATGTTTCCGAGTTGTTTCGTTGAAGATCGCAATGAGTTGGCTGTGCTTCGTTGGAGCAAGTCTAAGTGACGTCGTATGCAGCAATTTGAGGCTCATTACTTGATGTCACTTGTTTGAGTCTATGAAAATAGTCTTTGAATGCACCCCATGCTCCATATATATTCTGACCAAGACCATCACCACCACCATCATCATCATCATCAGCATCATCATCATCATCATCATCACCACCACCACTATCCGAACCTCAAAAAGAGAACAGGCCCAATCAAAATTAGAGATCCCTGTACACCCTTCATCCTTTTTGGATGTCAAACCTTTGATCTACAGGTTTGACCCCACATATAGAGGCAACCGGGAGTTTCTTCTGGAAACTTTGACCCTATTTTGGGAAGGATCTCCTATATAAATATGTGATTCTCTCCCACGCGACAGATCACAGAATCCGATCTCAGATGTCGTTACCAGTTTGTTAAGGCTAGATCTTAGGAACAGGTGTCCAACCCGAAAAGCTTTCCAGCTCCAACACCCCCCCAAACCAGAGGTGTACCAAGCCCCCCAAACCAGAGGTGTACCTGATATTCTGATGTTACCAACCCTCTCACAAATTACAAATACAAACATATGACACATACATGGCATTACGTAACAACACGGTACACAATACAATATCAATACAATATAATACCATACACAATACAATACCACACACTACAGTACCATACAATACCATATACATTACATGTATCTTACCAGCGTTTTCTCACCCCCCAAAACCACCAGCTCCACCGCCCCCCAACCGCCGTGGTTCCAAACGGCTG